TTATGCAAACCAAGGCCCTTTAAATGGATCACACACAAGGTAAGCTGATATGTCAGGTGTCGTCCCTCCTGAGGCAAGGCTCTGGATATGCCATTTCCAATATGACTTGTTCTCTCAAATTTCATATTACTGAGAACTAAGTTCACCCAGGGTGTCTGCCCGTATTATATTTCTTAACTATAATTTTTTCTACATCTACATTACATGTGTAGTGGATCAGTTTTGAATGCTGCACATCGCATACCTCCAACATTTCGTGGTTTGACAACATTGGCTCGATAAATTTCCATGCAAATAAATAGGCATTTTGTTAAATATATCCCCAATGACCCTTTCATTATAATACATATACATTCTGTAAATGTATATTTACAGTGTACCTCATATACATGCACATGACTTTCTAAAAACTTTAAAAACCAACTTAAGTTGAAAGGGTAATCTACCCCACATGTGGAAATAAATTTTAAACAAATAAAAATTAAGATAATCTTGCAATAAAAATAAAACAACAGTGTTGCTACTTTGGCAGAAAAAGCTGATCAAGTTAGCCCTTGATAAATTCTAGTCCTGAAAGGGATAACTGTAGGCCTGTCCTCATTATCTCGAGATTGCCAAATAGCCCGCTATTTCAACTATCCCGATCGAAAATTATCCAGTTAATTTGCGTCTTGATCAGCCCAAAGTTGCAAGTAGCGGGATATTTGGTTGAGATAATCATCCCAAGACATCTTGGGCTAGTTTGCAAAATATCCTGCTATTTGTCCGGTGCGTCTTCACCAGCCCGAAGACTCGCACTGTGTGCGAATGCTGAGCAAGATATCTCGAGCTCGAGTTTCAAGTTTCAAGGTCGAGTCTCGAGCTGATGAAGACGCGAATTTGTAACTTCGGGATTATTTCCAAAATCAGAAATAGCAGGCTATTTGGTAATCTCGAGCTGATGAGGACACACCTTGTGAAATAGTGATTAATTAACCGATTATGTAATCAACTGTCATTTTTTAACTGACACATCCAAAAACATGTTATCATCCTGTTGTTGCTTTCGGAAAATATTCCTTCAATATTTCACACTTAATATGACCTCCGTCCAAAAGATTTTTTTCTTCACATTCCTGGCTTTGTTTAAAGTTCCCTCCGGAAGCACAGCTGTGCTACGTTTCAATGTGTACCGTGTCATAGAGCTGCTAAAAGCACGGAAGGGAGGCAGACAAGGGAAGAAATCAATAGATATAGTTATATGTATATATCAGTCGGCATATTTCATTGCATATTCTCTCTCGGCAGTGATATTGTTTGAGACCGGAGCAGGTGCGAGTGTTTGTTTTACACCAAACCAAACACAACGTTCCCAAACACAGTGCTGCAGTATTAACATTTCAGCGCCCTGGTCGGCATGTATAATGGCTGATATATAGTCATAGCACTGGGCATCGTAAGAGCCTGCCTGCATGGTGGCTTGGCAGTCACATGCAAAGAGAAACTTGACCATTGGGTATATATACATACAGTCCAAGATGACATTTCGAGATGGAAAGAAAACACTTTCAAAACTTTAAATGCAAAAACAAAATATCCGCTGGTCGGGCGTTTTACAGGACATTTCTGCTGCAGATGTAATGTAAAAGGGCCATTTTTGCAACAATTTTTTTTGGAAATGATAATATCAGATGGAATATTTCAGAAACATAAACCCTTTACCCATACATAGTAACGTCCATGTGTAAGCATACACTGTACATGAAAATGTAGGCATAATACATTTGTATGTACTGGTTACACAGGAGTGGGCCGGTATTTTTTTAAAGGGAGGGGGGCGGCAGGCTGAGCATGCGTTCAAGCCTTGTTTTATTGCAATGCAACAGTATGATAACTGTCTACTAAAAAAGCAGAGGGGCTCCAGCCCGACCCCTCAGACCCCTGTTCAGCAACCCGTGTTACACACCTTTTTATTCTAAAGTGAATAGCTGAAAGATATCTAACAATTTGACTATTAATTCTCTCATTCCCTTATATGGTTACCATGGATGAGCCAGTCCAAACAACACAGTCACCATACTAGGCAATGGGTTGATAACTCATGCTTTAATACATGTACTAGGAATCAAATCTCATCTCACTTTGAACTTTGAAGGCCGGTTACAAAGAACATTACATTTGTTGCTGTTTTGAACCCTGCCACAGAAAATTAAGGATTTGATGGTTTAAACAGTTTTAAATCTAATGGGGAAAATAACATTAGTTCAAATGTCAATGATACAAATTAAAGGAAAGTAAGCCTAATACCCTGGTCATTACTAAGCCTATAACATGACTGTTACTGCCATCAACATTATTTTCAGAATCCCTAATGTCTGGATGTTCATATAAGATGAAACTACAGGGTACAACCAGTTAGAATCCTGCTAGAAAATCATGTTTTAAATCTAAAGACAGACAAGTATAACGGTTCAAATGTCAATGAGATGAAAAAAAGGAGATCATATGATCTGACATTGGTCATTAATACCAAGAAAAACATTCCACCAAGCCCATAAGCATGACAAATGCTGCCATCAAACCATAAAAACTACATGAATAGGTGCCCTTTGGATTTTTGGACATTCCGAGTATACGAAACGACTAGGGATAGACATTACATCTAAGTCTTGTAATTGTATCCAGGTATACATGTATGTACAGTGTATGCAGTGTGATATCTTATTCCTCATTAAGCACAGCTATGACGTCTCACATTAGCACTAATATCTAGCCTTGACAACCGTTCATTTTCAGAACGGAAAGAAGAAGGTCGGTTGCTTTGAATAAATATAGGAAATAGGAATAGGTGCCATTTTGGACTTCTTAATGTCTGGATGTTTAATCATACCGGGTATACGAAACAACAAGTTAAGACAGGGGACAGACATCTAAACCTTGCATCCAGGTACATGTATGCAGTGTGATATCTTCCTTCTCATTAAGCACAGCTATGACGTCTCACATTAGCACTAACATCTAGCCTCGACAACCGTTCATTTTCAGGATAGAGAGAAGAAGGCCGGTTGCTTTGAATAAATATAGGAATAGGTAGGTGCCATTTTGGACTTCTTAATGCCCAGACGGTTCATACCGGGTATAGTGAAACGATAAGTTTAGACAAGGGACAGATAAGCCTTGCATCCAGGTACATGTATGCAGTGTGATATCTTCTTCCTCATTAAGCACAGCTATGACGTCTCACATTAGCCCTAATATCTAGCCTTGACAACCGTTCATTTTCAGGATAGAGAGAAGAAGGCCGGTTGCTTTGAATAAATATAGGAATAGGTAGGTGTCATTTTGGACTTCTTAATGCCCGGACGGTTCAATCATACCGGGTATATGAAACAACAAGTTAAGACAGGGGACAGACATCTAAACCTTGCATCCAGGTACATGTATGCAGTGTGATATCTTCTTCCTCATTAAGCACAGCTATGACGTCTCACATTAGCACTAATATCTAGCCTTGACAACCGTTCATTTTCAGGATAGAGAGAAGAATTAGGCGGGTGCTTTGAAGCCGTCTCATGGCTACTTACTGCATAATACACAAGGATCTACAGTGTACAATGACACATGCTACAAAGTTTCCCAAAATCCGGCTGAGTTACGATGTAGATACGCCGGAGGTAATCTCGACTTTGATAGCAATGGCCTGTTGAATCCTAATTGAATCATTGGCTGAGAGCCAGTCATATATATACCATATGCTATTTTTCCTCTCATTTGAAATTCATCATTATACTTCTTTTGTTTTACTAAAGTGCATGCATCATTAAGCTTAAACAAGAGTACCTTGTTGTTATTAGCAAAAATGCCATGCTCAAAGCACATATCAGCTGAGATTAACTCACATGTGTTTAATACTGGTATTATCTGAGGCAAATGTTGCGTAGTAAGTGCAGACTATTCTGAAGCTATTAAATGTGTTGATTCATTTGTATGCACAAAGCTAGGTGTTGTTAATATGAAATGTAGACAAGTGTGGATCCATGAATCACGTACAAATTGAATAATTTGTATCTAAATAGATTCAATCCAATTTTAGTTTAAAAATCCAGAATTAAAACGGGTGTCGAATGCATATTTTTTCAATCAGTGTGCATTTCATCACATCAGAGTGCTGTAGTCAAACGTTTAACCGTCCGGTATTTCAGATTTTTTGGGTGATATGACATGGAACGACCCTCTGGTTGAAATTATGGATCGAGGTGGCAGGAATAGCACTATTTTCTGTCACCGAGGAATCCATAATTTCACTAGTGGCTTGAAATAGTGCATGATTTATTTGTTTTATATTTTTCAAACCAACCTTATTTATTAAATATTAATAATAATGTCACTGAAGTTGTGTATAGTGCAGGTGCTCTGGCTGGTGAGAGCAGTGCAGACGGACATAACGCGCCCGCAACCGATAGCACATTGATCTTGATCGATCGCATATCTATGACGTCATCCATGGTATAGTGCTATGGTATAGTGCACTATACCATGGATGACGTCACGGTTACATCATAGCAATGTTATGTTGGATCACGTGATGCTCTGTTGACCAATCACTGAACAGGATTTCATTGATCAAAAATATAATAATAACTATCCACACAAGTTACGATCGGAATCATCTCTGTGTTTGCACCGTTTTAAAGGTACTGGGTGTGCTATTGCACAAACCTATGATAATAAAAATGAATTATGTTTCTCAGCGCTTTCCATCATCTTACATAATCAAATATATTAACGACTTATGAACTCAATCTTTAAAGGAAATATTAAGCAATATCAGGAAAAAACATATAAGCTAGGAATGGAGGAATTAGGAAGAAGGAAGAAGAGTTGACAAGGTACTATGGTACATGCAGTACATATGAGGAGTATTACTTGTTTCATAAAATGGCAGAGAGCCACAGGACACTATTACCATTTTAAGGTGTTTTTTTAATGTCATATATTTTTTTGGAAATTACTACTCTTACCTCTTCATCTTTGGTAGGGGAAGGTTCGGTTGTGTCAATCTTGTCTAGTTTACGAAGTAATTTATCCTGTAAGGAGATAGACATAAAAGAGTATTAATTGAGATAAACACATTATCATCAAAATGGAGTTTGTACAAACATGCACATTGTTAGTGTATCCTTGTCATCAAACATGTCCTGTCATTCAAAGTGCACTTCAAATTTCACCCATTCTTTTTGAAAGTTCACACAATGAATCCAACATTTACATGTAGCTAGTTACATGCAGGTGTACAGTACATTATATTCAGATATTCAGGCACGCAGAATTACTGCTTCTTGGCTTGTACTTTGCATCCGTCATGTACTAAATCGTGCGAAAATCAAAATGACTTATGATGTCATCCAAACATGACTTCTATGCAGTATGCAATATAGGATAATAAAATCGCCCTTGAGCCGAATTCTCAAGTCTTTGCAAACATGCAATTGTATCATAATTGCATTTCATTCAACTAAATAACAATGTTCATGAGACAGAATTCATCAGTTGGCGTCCCTCAAAGAGAAGGTCGAGTATGATCAGACAAATATAATTTGTTAGCATTCTCTTAATTTATATGTGGCAGAATTAATGATCTGTCGCACCGTTTCTTACGAACTGACTATTGAATGCACAGACAGAGTGTAGGGTAAATTACAAGAATGGATGTATGTGAGTTTGCAAAAGCAGCAATGAATTGAAATATGACAGCATTGACATGAAAGCGATTGTTTGTTTTTAATTACATCCATATTTAGAGTATGCCGCATGTTTGTGTATATTTCCAGATTTAAGGGAGTAAACTACATTTGTGTGCAGTTGTTTTGTATTTTAGATATATATTAAACTCAATCTTTCAGAGTTTTGATAATTCCAAAACACCTTCATAATAGACCTACAATTTTCTTCATATTTACAAGTATCCATATATTCAGGTCGCTTCTCCTATGCACAAGAAAACATTTCAATTAATGTTTCTATTTTAAAAGATATTTTTGAGCAAGGCAGCCCTTTTTCTACTCTATTTTCTATCAGATACTGTTCATTAAGGTGACATTTCCTTGTGGAAATTTGAAGTATTTATTCATTATTTACTCTCTCTCTTCTCTGCCTGCTTTTTCCTGAGCTCATTTGGGGCTTTCGATCTAGAGCTTTACCACTCAGAGCTTTTGTACGTGTTATCACTGATGCTTTCGAACTACATACGGTCAAGACAACTCGATACTCGTTTCAAAATGGAAGTATCTCAAGTATTAGGTGTGAGTGGTCATCTGAAAGCTGGCGTTGTCGTACCACTGGATGTAACCAAACCCTGCCTGCCGCACGCTCACGTCACGGCATGACGTGTACATGTGCATCAGCCACAATATCTGTAGCGGATTTTCATCCCGGCTAATATTCTTGATCCCCGAGTATTTGCTCACAGAGACCGGAGCCTTGCGGATCGGGTTGCCAGATCACGTTTGAAACAAAAGGTCACCGTGGGGAAGACCAAATTGGACAGGCCGTCCAAAATCAATATATTTTCATAACAAGTCTACCTCTACCATTAGTGGCATATGGGCTACATTTCATGCAGGGCGTTCCATTTGCAGTTCAAATGCAGCTATATCTTTGGGAAGCTGCACACCCAATCTCATAGATTACACCTCATGGTTTCATGCACTCAAGACTTCAATTCAATTAGGGATACAGGCTCCATTTAGAAGATCCTCTACTTTCCGCCACTAGCATTGCACCAAATGCAAATTGGCAAGGCAAGGAAGAGAGAACACGGACATTCAATGTACATCAATCCAAACATACCGGTACATTCCAATAACGCTAAGAAGGGGCTTGATCTTCTTTGTTTAGTACGACACATAAGGCAAATTTGTCAAATGTCTCTCACTCACTCACTCGCTATTCATCATACTGTACACTTTGATGTCGCATATATTTCTAATTTTGTCCCCTAGATGACGATTTGCATATGCCTTTAACCAGAGACACTATAATCACATGCTTATTTTATGAACATGAAGCGTGGTAGCCTTGGTAAACTCATGAGAAAATAATGTCCAGGGGGAGCGACTGATGAAAGTGAAGGAATATGGCATGACAAACTCATAACCATATTGCCAATTCTTCTAAAATCAGATAGTGAGTTCTACTATTTTCCATATCAATTTTTGTAATCTATTTACTGCATATCCAGGGTTAAGTGACACAAAGACGTAACTCCATATTTTGCTAATTAAATGAGTATTTGATATCAAAATATTCAGAAAATGTGGGCTTTCCAGGAAACACAAAGACTTTACTCTACCCAACACCCCATCGAAGTCAATGGCTAGTGAAACATACACTTAACTCCATAAGGCCAAAAAGCTCAGTGACACATAAACCAATTTTTCTCAAAATGGCCAAAATGGAGTTACGTCGTTGTGTCACTGTCCCCTGGATATATACACTGTCGCTCATATAGGTGGAATATTTTAGTTTTACCCCAATTTATGGAATTATTTTAAAAATTATTTAAAAATAATAGATCTAGATAATAGTATACATTCTCAGAATGTATTGAATAATGATTTGCCAATGTGTGTTTTGCGGGACTGCTAAAGCATGTGTATGCTACTATGCTTATTAACTAGGGGACCTACGTCCTCTAGTCATAAATGACAGTAATGAGGATTAATGCCCCACAAAAGGGCACTAATATAGCACATCAACACGGTTTTGATCCTGGGGCCTCACAGTTACGAGGCCATTGTTTTGTCACTGAACAATGACTGTACGCAGCGGGGGCTAGGGTAGGGAGCAGTTTCTATTAAATAAAAAAAACCACAGAAAATGCAATAATTTTTCAATAATTTATTGCATTTTACCCCGGTCCCCAACATAAAAAAATCCTGTGGACGGCCATGCATTACAGCTCAAGGCATGGGCACACAGAAGATTTTTATATGTTGGGAACCTGGGTAAAATGTAATAAATTATTGAAAATTTATTGCATTTTCTGTTTTTTATTTTATTTATGGAAACTGCCCCCTACCCTATAGCCCCCGCTGCGTAGTCATGGTTCAGTGACAAAGCAATGGCCTCGAAACTGTGAGGCCCCAGGATCAAAACCGTGTCGATGTGCTATATTAGTGCCCTTTTGTGGGGCATTAATCCTCATTACTGTCATTTATGACTTAAGGGCGTAGGTCCCCTAGTTGATTAGCATAGTAGCATACACATGCTTTAGCAGTCACCCAAAACAAACATTGGCAAATTATTATTCAATAAAATCTGAGAATGTATACTATTATCTAGATTTATTATTTTTAAAGTATTTTTTAAATAATTCCATAAATTGAAGTTAAATAAAAATATTCCACCTTTATGAGCGACAGTGTATCTATACTAAGGCTTCATAATTCTGGGATCTGTACGTAATTATGTATCATGCGATGGATACGAAAGACTATACTCTGCATAATACACATGCTTGTCTACATGTTAGAGCCGATCAGGACTCAGCGCGAGAAAGGCATTAACCGTCTCGCAGATTTGAACGCCCTTCTGTCTCTTCACAGGCAAGCTGACGAGTTCAAGGGGTGAATAATCGGTTTCCAACTTTCCATACACAGCTGTAGCATCCTAGAATTTCCAGGGCTGTGTGAAACTCCATCCCAGGGGTCGCGTTAACCGTGGCCCCTACCTGAACAGAGCGCTGACGAGACGACACAAATGAATTACCATATAAATTAAACAGGCCTATTATTGCACATTATGACCATGTACATGCAGCTACAAGTGCAGTGACTTGAGCATGTACCTCGACTGTCATTCGTTCTAATGGTTGGCCATAATGGATGCGCATGGGTGATGCCACGGCTCATTTAACAGTAGTCAATGCTGCTCTACCTTGCAGTTGGGAGAGTGTCTCCGGCCTGCAACAAGCTAGTCCAATTACATGTGTATGGTACATAAATAGTTGGCAGGTACTCCGGTTGACACTATTATGTGGCACAATGCATGCAAACTACATTGTATGCATCCACTGTATGAGTAAAGCTTTCTCCACATATACTGTACACCATGGTAGATAAGTGTAAGTGCATTTCACATTTCTGTATCCAACAATGTACACTCAACAACTACACAGGTACATGTACATGTAAATTAGCGAAAGCTAATGTGGTTTGATTAGCAATGGCGCTTGTAAAATGGCGACTGGTTGGAATGCTCCCCAGGGAGTGGAGAATGTGCATACCTTGTGTGCGAGTAAGCATGAATCCGATGACCGGGGTAATAGTATCTGTAAAGCGCGTTGAGAGGGCCTGTGGTCCTGAAATGCGCTATATAAGGACGAACTATTATTTATTATTACAATTATTCACATCCTTTGTTTAAAAAAATGTAAAAAATGGATGTGTTTTTAATAACTCAAGAATAAAAGGTGGACTGGTTGAATGACGGCCTTTGACAAATACTGTTAGATGTACATGTAAGATTTGTCACATTATCAAGAAAACCTAAACCGGGACAAGTCAATATTCACAAACACTGTAGTGACTGAAAATTCCAAAACTTGATTGGTATGGGTAATATTTTGGGGTTTAAATAGTTTACATAGATGTGGTTCTTGAGTGTACATGATGTTATACTGTAACACAGAAATAAGTTAGTTCATGTAAGATATACATTGATATCCTACATTATTCTTATTCCCTCATCCCTAAAGTTGCATTGCCCAGTTTACATTTGCCCTTTTTATTTTTGCCCTCAAAACCATTCTTATCCCAGCTTTATTATCCCAAGGATAATAATGCTAACAAAGACTAAATACGTTTTACATTCTCATTAATCAAAAATTTGAATTTGTGGGACATTGCAGAGCAAGCACCATGAGAGCCCAGCAGAAATGGGAGACCAGTGCTAAACAAGAAACCATCACATTCGTCATCATCATGCTTCATATTTATAAGCAAACATTGGAGTATCACACACAATAAAATATGTTAATCAATATTATCATGGTATGTAACTATGCATGCATGATACTCACTTTTTTACAGACTTGACTGTTAATACTTTGCCCTTAGAACTACCTGATAAAGGGGCATTTTGTGAAAACATGCACCATGAACTTCCACAGTGCACACATATACTGTATGCAAGTGTTTGGCAACATTGTCTTGTCAAAAATGTTGGTAAATTGCGCATTTTCGAAACACTTTCAATTCCAAATCTTCTTTTGTTTAAAATAGAAATGGGTTAACTATTCCTTCATAGATCTTATGTCAGATACATGTACACTATACTATACAGATATTTTCTGTCTTTTGTAATGATTTTCTTTTTTTTATATGCACTAAGTAAATAAATATCACTGTACATGTACTTGTTCTTGTAATTGAAAACTTGGAACTAGCGGGATTTGAACCTGCCATACACACATGTACATTGTAGCTCTATGGTCATAATGAACTAGAAACAGATACCGTACATACTACATGTACAGAGCTGCCAACCTCCAGAACAGAAAATCAGTAATCACAAGGCTCAAAATCAGTAATTTGGGGTATAAATCAGTAATTTCTTATGCGGCGCTATGAATCTAAAAAAACGACACGCCAACACTGCGCGGACGCATGATTATCTGAAATTTTTGGTGATTTTACTCACACAAAGATGTTAAGTATTGAATTTCAGGTCATCACAACACAGTTTATCATGAAAAATGGCTCCTATTCACAGCACTCGCTACGATAAATCATATTTAATTCATTAAAAAAAAAAAAAAAAAAAAAAAAAAAAAAAAAAAATTTAAATCCGTAATTTGAGACAACATTCCGTAATGGTCGTTAATTTCCGTACCAATTACGGAAAATCCGTACTAGTTGGCAGCTCTGCATGTACCTCCGCTCTCCAGACTTATCAGTAATATTCATCAGTCGGCCATTAGGACAATAGCTTTGAATGTTACGCTTCGTGGGAGTAATTTCAATTTGTGTACAGAAAATTTTTGGCTTGCACCCCCCAAAAAAAGATTGCATGTCTTGTAATTGATATTCTACCAATCAAGGAAAGTGCTTGGATAAATCAAGTGCCTGGCACTGTCTGTATCCTTGTTACATCCTCTATCATTACAACATGTATGTACAGATGTATCATGGAGGGCACGTGCCTACATGTACTGCAACTATCAAATTATCAATCATTCCATTATTGCACTGGCACATGCATCCATGGTCTACAGTTTGATGCACGAATGCACAGCTTTTAAAAAATAATGAAATTCAAACTCTAGTCTAGGAGTCTAGAGTCATATTTTGAAAACCCTGTAACCGATTAATTGAATCGGGGGCCGATCGCTGGCCGATCGCTGGCCGATCTACATAAATTGAATGATAACTTCCGAACGCTGATCGATGAAAAATGATCCGAAGAAATCAGGGGGAAAAAAACTTAATATCAATATGGTCTACAAAAATTCCAAATGGCGAAATAATCCCAGCTATGCATGTTTTTTAGTACATGTATTTGAGAGCCTAAACTTGAAAAATGTTGCGCCCTTCCAAATCCAAAAGAACAACGGCGCCAATACAATATCATATCGTCCCTGATGTTTCTTATTTGGCAGACAATTTGGAATCAAACTTTAAATCAGGCACAAGCTTTAGAAGTGTGACAAAAGATAACTGCAATATTTTCATGCACACAGAAACAGAAAGAAAACACAGCCTGTACCTATTTGAAAAATCCATAAATAATGATCTAGGCTGATATAATAGAACCCTTGATACTTGTTTTTTTTTTTTATTTATGAGGGCTATAGCAATTATTACAATGGATTAGCACAATGTCTCTGGGGCTTTGCAGACCCTTGTCATCAGCCTATTGTTTCATACAACTGATCAATAACATATGTCACATTTCTATGACGAATTTGCTCACAGCCAATCAAATGCCACAACTCACAGTAGGCTAACAGTCAAGCCTGTCTAGAGGAGGCGAGTTGGTTCAGTGGTAAAGCGTCTGCCTGTCGAACCAAAGATCTCGGGTTCGAATCCCACCATGCATTGTGTGTTAACGTGCCCCTCCCCCTTCTTTCCTACACGCAGGCTACGTTAAGTGGAAAACACTCTGTCCCTCGGATAGGACGTTAAATGTAGAGAAATATCTTGCTTAAGCCTTTGAAAAGGGCCAATAGTGCAATGACAAGGTTGCAAACCATATATACCTTCACATCTGTTGTGACAGCTAAAAAGTGGATTAAAGATTTTGTTTCTGCTGAAAAGTTAAATTTGCAAGAATGATGCATGATGAGGATGCACTGAAAAAAACTCTTACAACTTCAAAGACAAAACAGATCTAGATCAACATTGAAAAAACTCGTAAAACTTCAAAGACAAAACAGATCTAGATCAACATTGAAAAAACTTGTAAAACTTCAAAGACAAAGCAAATCTAGATCAACATTGAAAAAACTCGTAAAACTTCAAAGACAAAACAGATCTAGATCAACATACATGTACATGCAGATAGATAACTGGAACAATTTCAATGCATTGATTGAATGATGATGATGATGGTAAATGAAATACTTGCAAAAAAATGTTAATAATTTGTAGTGAATTGTAATAATGTATCAATTTAATAGTCTACTCACTATTTTTCTATTCAGAATTTGTAGATCCCTCTCTGTTATTTGTCTCTCTTTCGGGGGTATACTGACTGTCTGTCCTGTCCGTCTATCTTTACACCGCTGCTTGAATTCATGCAGTCTATACAACAAGTAGAGCGCAGGAGTTGCGGCTACGGCTGGCTTAGCGTTCGGGGTAGAACTCATGCTGAAGAATTTCATGCGTGATTTCGAGGTTGAATTTACACAATTTCTCCGGTCCTGTAAATTGAGGGGATGATGATCTGTCAGCGTTGATGGTGCCTAGTTCCAAGACGCTGCATACACGAATACCTACATCGAAGTTAATATAGCTTATAGGGAAAGCACTTGATTTTTGCGTGGAAGACAAAAATTCATCGTTTGCTTTGGTTGCTGGTAGGTCGCTTGACGACTAGCTAGCTGTATCCCTGTATACATTATACATAATGTACGGCGAAGCGCTACGCAATATATGCTATGCGATCGTTGGGCCTGTATATGTGGCGGGTCTTCAGCGCATTCGTACTCGAACAGTGCAAGCTATAGGGCGCAGCATGTAGAGCTATTTGAGTCGTACGTTTTATTTTAGTGGCGCCTGCTTTTGCTATGCATACGTACATCTACCGTAGACGTACAGTCAATAATATAAGGGCGAAATAACGTTTTCTAGGGGGAGGGGGCGGAGCTCCCCAATTTATATTTTACTAGATACGAGTGGATGATATAAGCTGATTAATTATTAGAAAGAGATACGCTGACAGGCATAAAAGGCATATGCACGCATTAAACGTACGTATAGTTTAGAGAAGAAACATATTTGCCTTGGTTGGGAGTTGATAGTTGTGATAAAAACTGTTAATGACCACTAGCTTTCTCCACCTGGTAACACTTTAAACATGCTGTATCCAAGACTTTAAAGGTTGAATTTAGTATGTCAAAAGTGTCCATTTTACTTTCCCTTTTTTTTAAAGATAATTTCTCGGTCATTTTAAATGGTGATTTAACATTCTAGTTTATAGGTATCAACTACAGGGACAAATGTCAGTTAAAGAACTGGCAATGCAATGTCAGTCGGCACCGCAGTGTGACATTTTTTTAATTTGGAAGATAGGGAGTCTCGTCGCAGGACGGGCATATTTTCTTGATTTTTAAGGAGAAAAGGTGAGGGCATTGCCCCCCCCCCCTATCGAAGGAGACAAATACGAGTCGCATTTTCAGCTTTTCCCGTTATGAATGGCATGGTCGAGTTTTTTGTGGAAGATTTTTATCAAATTAAAACAAATTCCACTTGACGGGCGTTTCCCTTATTGTTTATCACATGCGAACAAAATATCTTTTGCTATTTTTTCTATATTTTATGGTATTTCCTAGAAATCTATAATTCAATTTTCCCATGGAATAAATAGAAGGTATAGACAACAACAGGTTTTTGAGCTAAGGATTTAGAACAAGAGGTACTGATGAAAAATATAGTCAATGTTGAAAAAAAATATTTAAAAACTAGTTTTAGACTATTTTATTTTGATACAGTAATGCTCTTTATCATAGCACTGTGATGTGATGTGATGGTTATTTTACCTGACTGCTAAGAAAGCATAAATGCTTGTAAGTAAGCAACCAGAGGACCGACGGATTTAGGTCCTCTCCGAGGGACCTGGCAGTTAGGATTAATGCCTTACCAAAGGGCACTAGCGCATCGTCTTGGTTCCGGGTCACCGGATTACGAGACCACTGCTCTACTGTGATGAGGCTAAGCCTGAGAGTGAAAAAGTTGTGATTGATATGAAAAGATTGTACAGAGTATTCTCCTAATTAATGGCTCTGGATGATCGTACATTTGCTCAGGCGACGATTGATTTGGGCTTAATTTCGTCAAAATTGAAAGAAAAGGCCAAGTGTTATACGGGGAAGCAATAGGATTGGGGTTAATGTCAGGGATCCAACTCTCTAGTTAGGGTTAGAAAATGGATTAAACAATGTTGGGTCCAGAGTTGAGGTTTATTCATTAATAACAGGTTAATGGATACCTCGTCACGAGGTCCCCAGGAAAGAAACATCCATGAATTTGAGATAGGGTAGTAAACCTATTTTCGCAGGTGTGTTGGACATCTTTTAAACTTATAGAGGGCGGTATGCATCGTTGAGGGTAAATGATGTTGAATGTCTTGGTTTTCTATCTGAAACTCTTGAAAGTTATAACAAGGATTGATGAGCTGACTGGACTTGCTCCATGAACTGCCGAACAACTGTAGTAAAAGAGTCATTTCCTCGGTTTCCATCCATTTTGTTTTTTTCAAATGGTAGGGGCATGCTTTTTAGATGTAGTTGCTTTTTCTGCCATTCTCTAATTTTCTCCGATCTCAATGTACATTTAAAGATTCAGGCATTGTGTGCTCCGTGAATCTCTTTTTTTCATGTAAATTTGGTCTGTTATTCTTTTTTATTTAGGATTGAAGTGAATATCAAATTTGAGTAGCAGCAAATTCAAACCAATTTGATTGGTATTTTGGGGACTCTCCTTACAGAGACTGCTGGCATGACCAGCTGTCACTAATAGTCTTAATGAAAGCTGTTCGCATTTGCACAATAAATATATTCAGACAAAAACCTTTTTTCAAAGTTCAAAGTTCATTTTTTTTGTAGTGTGTCTTCATGAAACTTTTTTTCTACTGCTAAGCGTCGCACTTGATACGCTCTCTTCACTAGCTCGCAAGATTTAGACAAATTGAAAGATGGTATTCTCATAGCGATAATGTGCACGCACAAATATGTTATGAATAAATAATGAGATCTCTCCTATTGAGAATTTTCGATATTATACCTATTATATTATTTGAATGAGCTATGGCAATGATCATAGGCGGAGCAACCCGCAATTGTGACGTCAAAAGGTCAATTGCTTGATTTAAGCGGTCGATTGTGACGTCACTGTGACAGAAAAGCAGAATACACGTCGCTAGATAGTGCGCTATTGTGAGGTCATAAAGGCAAGTTCATCTTTCAGCAGTTGATTGTGACGTCAATAAGAGCCGCTGCGAGTCGCGCACCGGAAATCCTCAAGCGTATTGCGCGCACTCCGTCAGCTAGCACCCTTATATAGGTCACCAGTCATGCAATTCATTGTTTGTAAACAAAGGCGAAATGCACGACGGGTAATATCGCAATGTCGCGTATTAATTAGGCGGTGTCACACAGAAAAATCCCTTTAAAAAATCCTTTCAAGGGAGAATTTTCTTGCTTCGTTAGAGGATTTTTAATGGGATAATTGGTGACAGACAGCAATTAAGAAGATAACTAAAATCCGGATTTTTGGCCTGTGTGTGACACCGTCTAAAATTGCAAAGCAAGCAGATCCATTACAATCACAAGTTTGGAAGAGAGTCAATTAACAACTCAAATAGCTTAAATCGGGCAATCTGGAAAAACGTTCTTTGCGAAAAGAACAGGAAATAATCATTTGCATGTCGATAAGCATGTTACAAAACGCGAATATAGACAAATAGGCCTTTTTCGTAATATAATCAAATTCAACGCACAAGTCTTTGTTAAGTGCATCGTTACAAAATATTTCATTCCCCTGTTACGAATAATTGTATTGCAATAGTCAGAATGCGAATTACGTACATTCTGTGTTTTGTAGGACAACCCGTTGGCCCGAATTCACAAAGGAGGTTTGTCGACAAACCTTGGTTTTCGTACGTCATATGACGCGTTTTACGCGTTTTTTACAAACCTGGTTTGTAACGAACAAAAGGAGGTTTGAGCTCAAACCTTTGTCTGAGCTCAAACCTTGCTTTGTGAATTCGGGCCATAATGTTTGTATTACCTAGCCACAATTAATGTATGCAATTGGAATTCTGACTATTGAAATACAATTATTTGTAACAAGTGATGAGATAATTTTTTAAATTGTAATTAACAAAGATCTATGCATTAAATATCATTTCATTATGCAAATTGTGTTTTGCTATAGATACGCACGGTGATACATTTTCATAAAGAGGGGCCCCACAGTCATCCCCGATCCTCGCCGCCTGATGTGAAATTGCTTCTATTCTTGCATTCTTTGTATATAATGTTACTCCTGGCAACCATGACCCCGCACTAATGTCCTTTGGCAAGACATTGATCTACATTTGCCACACTCCACCCAGGTGAAGTAAATGGGTACCTGGTAGGAATTTATTCCTTGAAACGCAGCGCGCGTAACAGCCGCACTGCTAAAGCCAGGGTAATTATGCTGCATTATTGTAGAGCGCTCAGACTAGACTTCTGATAAAGTAAGTGGTAGGCACTATATAAGCAAGGATAATTATTATTATTATTTACACGTGGTGGATTTTCTTTGTGACTTGTCATAATTATCAAATAAACTTCAAGAAATTGATTACTTAACACCCTATGTGATTGTCACCATGCAGTTCACAAGTATCCAATATTTATTTGCTTTCTTCGCACGCTCACAAACTTGAACAATATAGAGATCTAACTGCCCCCCCCCCTCTCCTCCTCCACGCATATGAACATCATAAGTGGCCGATCCTTTGCATGATGTAAACATTCTTGCAACTAGAACAACAATATTAACAAGTAAAATGAAATAAACAGTAAATTAGAAGGGAAAAAAGAGAAAAGATAAGGAAAGGAAGGCAGAGCACAACAAAGCAAAGCAAAGCAAAGCAAAGCAAAGTAAGGCTAAGCAAAGAATAACACTAAAAGAAAAAAAAAAAGGGAAAAAATGAGAACTTAAAAGAAAAGAAAAGATGAGAAAATAATAAATGCTGCATTCGCCCTTTAAAAAGAAAATGAAGAGAAAAAAAAATGAAGGAATAATTCAAGATTCAAAATATTCAATGAATGAATAGATGGATATTCAAATAATCCGATAAGTAAATGAATACACAAATCAATAAATAGATTAATGAATTAATTTTAAAAAAAATCAATGAATAAAGTAAGACAGAAATAGAGAAAGTAAAGAGGAAATAAAGGAATAAAGAAAAGAAGACAAAAATAATCGAGGAAAATAAAAGGAAGGATGGAAAGAAGAAAGAAATTTAATAAGAAAGAGAGAGATGAGATAATCTTTTTCTTTATGCACATCCAGCGGGTATAGGCGATTAGGACGCCCTCACGCGACGAGTGCCGTATTGTCTGCACCGAATGATGGGCGGAGCGACAACGAGCAACAATCAGTTCTATTTACGATACGAGACGAGACACACACAAATTTTCTTCTCAGGCACTCGGCTACTTCAGGTAAGACACACCTCCAATATGATTGTACATGTGCTTCTTGAGTTGATACTGATGTAGTTACCAACATATATCTCCGTCATTTGTTTAACTTCAGCATTGATTAAACTATAATACCGATGTTTATTGTTGATATATGAACGTGAAATGTTGTCATAATTAACGTTAATTGCTTTTTGATGTTAAGTCCAAGGTTATATGATCATTTAATGTATTGGTTTGTGTATTTACCACTTGTACTTTTAGGAAGAACTTCCATGCACCATGATCATATGAACATGAAGTATTTTCATAATCTCACTTCCTATGTATTATGCATATAATATGCATATGGGAAGAAAAAACGATGTTGTTGAATGTTGGTGCATTTTTGCTGGGTCTCTTTTACATCAATACCAGTATAACTTGCCGTGTTTGCCGCGCTGGTAGTTTAATTGTGTTGCAATAAAGTCGATGTACAGTGTATGGTAATTTGAGTTACTACATGTATGATGGTAGTCCCTAATTGTTAATGAGCCACTTCCGTTCGCTAATTAGGTTTCCTCTTAGCCCTAGCTATGTTAGGTTCATGCTATTGTCCCGTATTATTCTGATCACAAAGCCCTACCGGAGCTATACCTACTACATTGGCAGTATGATCGAATTGCAACAAATTGAAAAATTGAAAACTGGCTATATTAACGTTTAATTAAGTTTAAACGTAAATTAATGACAGCTATGTTTTGTGATGGATATATGAATGTTTTTTTTTTCCAGTGAATTATGCTCATCTGCATGTTAAATAAATATGTATATAGAGTCAAACCTGCTTTAGTGACCACCTGTCTACAAAGGCCAATTTTCTTGTTTCCCTTGAAAATGATTTCTCATTGAATCATGTACTAAAAGGAACCTGTCAACAAAGGCCATTTTTGTGTTTCCCTTGGGCAGTCGCTATAGACAGGTTTGACTATATATATATATATATATATATATAAAGCTCAATGTTATAAATTCAGCCAGCTAACATGTATTTGATGCAGAAATAATTGACGGAAAGCTATTGAAACAATGTGTTATGCTAGTGCATGTAAGTTTTCATTAAATCATGAACTTTTCTATTGTAGGTTGCCATAAAATAATCAATTCTATAATCATGAAAATGTATTCACGTGTCTCAGATTGTTATCAGTCAATGCTCCAATCGTATATGGCCTGTATTTAGGCTAATACTTGGTCACGTAGTACAGACGTGTTCAAGGAAAATCTAAACTAATCTAATAGAAAACAGAAAAATCAGAGAAGCACACTGGTGAAATTTTTAATGAAATCGGAAATAAGATTTTTTTTTTAAAATCACGATAGCTAGTGGCTGAGGCTATAATATCACTGTATACTTATAGTAGTGGCGGACACCTATCCCATTTGTTCCAACACACAACATAACTAATTTAACTTCCCGGCAAAAGGTAGCGTAGTTTTGCCGGGCAACCGACGAAATGTCAATATTACGTGTTGAGTAATGCCCGAAGGGAGAATGCGCTTATAGTAGGAAAAACACAGAAATTAATGATATTTTTGGACACGACGAACGGGAGAGTAGGCCGTGCATACGTCACAATCCACTTACCAAATTGCCAGGTGAGATTCGTATAAATAATATAGTGATCTCATATTTCAAACAATTATAACTTTCTTATTATTGGTCGGATTTATATCAAACTCTGACCACTCTGGTTGGTTCTCCTATTTTTCTGCTTTCATTATAAGTTAACTCATATTACATAGGTTGAATTGCCCTTATTTGAAATTTGAATAAAATTCCACCTACACCTCTTGGGCTATAATCTCCATGCCCTTTTACACCTTGCTTAAAACACAGCATACAGTGCAAAATTAGTGAAATATACGGGTTGAGAGTTGGACAAAAGATTGCCCTTTTGCACCTTGCTTAAAACACAGCATACAGTGCAAACTTAGTGAAATATACGGGTTGAGAGTTGGACAAAAGATTGTGTTCATCTGACATCTGTTTTGACCTTAGTTGATTTGCTTTGAATGAAGGAAGGGCCCAATTAGCAACTTCCTTTGTGCCTGACTGGTATACTGCCCCGAAAATCTCTTTTATTTCGCACGTTTGGAGATTAGCTTTATAAACGGGGATTAGCTAATCCGACCAAGAAAGTAGCTACATTGGACACTCTTTCATTGGCGCAATGTGCGTTGTTCACCCAAAATCTCAAGAGGGACTTTTAGATTAGGGACTTAAGATTCGCACGAAGACAATGGGGATTGCTACGATCGACGTCCTTAATGCACTGCCTTGAATGGACGCCATGCACGTATCAGTTCACGCAAATCTAAGAGTCCATATTGAGTGGACGAGAACGGCTTGAAAGTCCACTGGATCATGCGTGTCCATGGCGAGCCGTTCTTCTTCAAGATAATCTGCCTCCTTCAATACTGAAGATTCTTGCAGATGCCGTATACTCGGCCTGATTGGGGTGTGCAGGCCGGTGGACCATTACACCGAGGTTTCCCCCTACTCTTATACGAAAAGTGCAATGGGTTCTTAACGTGCAAGGGTGGTGACTCTCCTGTACACGGGGCCTCCATTTAACGTCCTATCCGAGGGACGGAGTGTTTTCCACTTGACATAACCTGCGTCTATGAACAAGGGAAGGGGCACGTCAGCACACAACGCAGACTTCAGTCATCCGCCTCGGTGGGAGTCGAACCCGGGATCTTTGGTTCGACAGGCAGACGCTTTACCGACTGAGCCAACTCGCCTCCTCTGCCGTTTTAACATTTATTCCTATTTCTTGATATCACGAAGTCAATTCTTGATATCAAGAAAGAAGAATAAATGTTAAAACGGCTTGCCATAGACACGCATGATCAGTGGACGTTCACGCCGTTCTCGTCCACTCAGTCTAAAAGTCCCTAATGTATACCTCGGGATTTGCAACTTATAGCTCACTGTCGAATAGGTTTGCTTATCAATAGGCCATTTCCTGAATGTATTCAAATGTGATATGCATAAATATTTGTAATGTGCCTCGTTGCAAATTATTTCATCACTTGTTATTTCAATATACCGGTAGTTCAGAATACGAATTGCATACATTGCGTGTTGTTATGTAGGGCAGGCCATAATGGTTGTACTATACCCACCAAAAACTAATGTTGGGCTGAAGAAATGGAATGGTGATTTGGGTCAAAAGCCCTTACGCGTTGTAATTTCAGTCCGAAAACATATTCATAAGTTTGAATCAAAAGGTGCATATATATGGGCTATAGGGTGAAATGGACGGAGTAAGAAGATAAAAGTACAAAGTATTTTTTTAGCTTGAAAAAAGGAATGCTGACCGAAAGGGAATTATCCATTTAAAGCCTATCTACACTAGTTTGCTCAGGAGGGATTAGACCTCCTCGCGTGGTCACTGGCAGGTGGTTATCTCATCAAATCTGCTCTGTTTTTCCCTGGGTAGGAGGCCCAGCCCCCCTGAATCAATGGGGTCAGCCCCTCAGCATGCCCCGAATCGTTCGCTTTGATGTTCGCTGATCGACGATCACTCTAGCTGTGATTTATTTCCTTTTTCTTTTATCTTTATTTTCGCCGACTTCTCCTTCTTCTTCTTCTTCCTTTTTTCTTCTTATCTATAGGCTTTCTTCTTCTTCTCTTTGCTCTTCTTCTTCTTCTTAAACTTTCTCTTCTCCTCCTCCTCCTCCTCCTTCTTCTTCTTCTTCTTTTTCTTCATCAGTCTACTGCGCGCTTCCTCGTATTTGCTTTGGGTGCATGTGCTAAGGCTCATTTTTAATTCTATTTTTTTTCATTCTGTATAGATTATCCACCGATACCCTTAACATGGACCCCATTACGAGAGCTACAATGGGTGAGCCACGCCCATCTGAAGAGGTCGGATACCTAATATACTGTCCTACAGAGGAAGAATTAGAAGATCGCTGTATGGAAGAAGACTTCGAAGCTGACATCCGATGTGAGTTAATCTGTCAAGGTGATAAATGCAGTCAGATGTTGAGCAGGGGCGGATACCATATTTTGCAAAAAAGAGGTGCAATGCAGAATTTCTTTTAAAACCAAGCACCCTACAAAAAAGGAGTCACATTTTTTAGTTAGTGAACACGGTTATGCGGTATATCACTTTCGTTTCAAGGGGCACCGGCCTTTTTTGCCCACTTAAACAACCAATATCACCGAAGACAGATTAATGTATTTCTGTAGGCACCTTCCCCCGACCGGGAGGGGAAATATAAACCTAATGTCACCCTAAATGTCTCTTCCCCCAGGTGCGTTCATCGCGGACCTGGAGGGGTCGGGGTCAGGTTCCCACTGGGAAAACAAATTAATTTTAAAAGAAAATGTGCCCCAGTATGGGCCACCATACAGCTTATTCATCCCACAAAGGACCCTGCAAATGTGATAGCCCTTTTACCAACAAAGGCTGCTAAAACATTTGGTATCCTTTTCTTTCTTTTTTTTGTTGCTTTAAAAAAAAAGACTTGCCCTTCCCCTACGCCGTCAGACAATCCTAAATCTCTCACTCAATACCTTTAAAATACCTGCGTAGACCTATTGATCCATGCATCCTTACGTTTGAAAATGTGTTAGCAGTTTAATGTTTCAGTCACGTGGTACATTATATAACATCACCTCTTTAATTTTCAGCAAGCGTCATTCCCGGTTTTTTAGAAATCGTATTGATTTGTTTTTTTCTCCCCAGATGGAAATGCAAATATCAGACAGGAGAGCATGATGTTATCCCAGGAGTTACCTTCTGAAAGGGTCTCGACAGGCGTTGGGAGCTACCATGAAACAAATCATACGCAAGCAGTCGAAATGACACTTCCACATTTTCTTTCAAAAGATGGATCCGAACCCCAGTTCGATGCACCTCACAGCAAGAGCTTCATGTCTGCTGATCAGCCTCGCTCCGGTGAGGTGAGGCCACAGGTTGGGTTTGAGGGACTGCATGTTGCTGAATGTGAGAGAAATCGCATGGTTTGTCCTTCAAGTTCTTACCATGGGGGCTGGAACTCGCAAGGAGGATCGGGACGGGATGAAACGAGAGAAAACACAAATAGGGACACGTACAACTGTTCCTGTAATACATGTGCCCCTCAAAATGCAACTAGAGGATCCAGAAGAGAAGAAAAGCCACACCGGTGTTCTTATTGCGGCAAAGAATTTACCTACAAGAGCCGACTTCAACGTCACGTGAACATCCACACAGGAGAAAAGCCTTTCAAGTGTACCGTTTGTGACAAAGCCTTTACACAAAAAGAGAGCCTTCAAAATCACATGGCAATTCATACAGGGATAAAATCTTCGCAGTGTTCTGTTTGTGAGAAGCGGTTTACACACAAGTCATATATCCGTTCTCATATGGCAACCCACACGGGAGTCCGGCCTCATGGGTGTTCACTTTGTGACAAGAGGTTTCTCACCCGTAAGGGACTATCAAGGCATATGAATTCACATACGGGCGAGAAACCCTATGAATGTTCGGATTGTAATAAACGGTTTTCTCAAGCCTATACCCTAACAATGCACATGCGCCGACATGCAGGCGAGAAACCCTTTGAATGTTCAAACTGTCAGAGAAGATTTTATACCAAGGCGAATCTTGTCACGCATATGCGTACCCATACAGGCGAACGACCGTTCAAGTGCACCGTGTGTAATAAAGCATTTGCCCAAGCAAGTGTTGTTTATATTCACATGCGAACCCATACGGGTGAAAAACCACACAAATGTTCCATTTGCAACCAACGATTTACGCAAGGTTGTAGCCTCACCAGGCATATGAAAAACACACACAAAGGAGAAAGCCTTGAAACTACTGGAGAATAGGAATGGAGTATGGTACGTTGGTACTCTCGTTGTCGACATTTTTTTAAAATCGGGCAGTTTGTCGGGGATGAGAACCGCGAATGTTCTACGCTTTTTGAACACGAGGCGTCACAATAATTGCCCCCTACGTTCAATACATATATGAAGGCAGTATTTTGGAGCGTTGTGAAACGCCTGACCAATCAGCCGCAACTTCCGGTGGCGTAACTATCGCTCTCAAATAGCTTTGGTTGAAGCCATTTGCTAAAAGGTTGTCAGTGCGAGTCTACGAGACAAGAATTTCGTACCATATTCCCAATGATTTATATGTTTAGCAGAATTAACTAATGCGTTGTAAATATACACAATTGATAATGTCAAACGGGGATGACGAGACATTGTAGAGACATATGGAAAGTAGTCTGACCCTCGACTTTGACTGAATTTTAAGCCGATTATACAAAAAAACACGATCGCAACTTTTTTTTGCGAAAAACAAACTCAATATCATTTCAACACCTTAAAGATAAACTTGAGTTCTGGTAAAAAAAGAAGAAAATGAATTCTCACAGAAACTAACGAAACTTACACTGAATGTTCAAGATTACAAATAAATGTCATGTGCCAAACAATTTTGGAAGAAAATGTATACTGGCTGAGTAATGAGCATAGAAAGATAAGGAAATCAGGGTAGTACTAACCCCGACACCATATGTGTTGTCCCATATACATCTTTCTGTGTAAGTGATTGTTACTTTACCAAGACTCTGCCAAATTTTATGATGATTTTGATGACTCCAGAACCTTGCATTACACACCATTACTTACATGCTATATGATCAACTTTTCTGATCCATTCCACACCTTTTCTTTCACAATGCAATCGCATTACCAGAACTCAAGTTTATCTTTAATGTACATCTCATAGAAATCATGTTTGGAGTACGTATAATGCCTCACTTTCAAGTTTACACATATTTTCACAAGGCCTTTGATATTCCCTTAGGTTGATATTTCGAAAGTAGTTGCGATCACTTTATAACATTTTTTTAATGATAAATAATTAATTTGAAATATTAATTCTTTAATGGTCACTTACATATATGTCTTCTTTTTGGTAGTAAGTATAACAACAATAAGCTCATGGAGGTTTCTGTTACAGTCTGACTCATTCAGTTATATTTACTTCATGTATTTACTCTCATTACTGTATTAGGAGTATGCTATTAAAGCGCTATGCAACTATTAAATATAATAAATGGATCCGTGTCGTGACTGCCAGGACCCGTTGCATATTAATTTCTTATTTATAAGTGCTTATTTATGAAAATTGAAAATCATTTTCAGCAGTGTTATCAATGATATTGATATCGTGTGTTTGAAGAGAGTTCACGGAGTTCTCCTTGTCGACCTGTCGGACATACCTCAGACAACATACAAGTTGTCCAGAACAACCTTGTTTAAAAAGTATGCATACCATTCGAATATGTTAGTAAATCGGTCTGTTCAGTGAAATTCGGAATTTAATTCAGTTCAATTAAATTAAATTCCATTCAAAGTCATTACTCTTTTTTGTACGGAGTTGCTCAGCTATGTGTATATCACAGCCATTAATTGCCTGAAGTATGCCACCGTGCTAAAATAAAATATGCAAATAAACAAACAAACTTCAAATTGAATATGTACAATTTTCACCAGTGTTATTAATTATAATGAGATCGTGTGTTTGAAGAGTGAGAGGTCACTGAAAGGTCAAGAAGGTCTTTCGGAGAGTTTGCGGGAAGGGTAGAGCAAAGGGATACATGCATAGTGTACTGGTAATGAAAAGAGATTTGAATAATTGGGAAATTCAGTTAACTGAAGCAACTTATTCCCAGTTTAATTATCATCTTAATATACAAGACAATACGATAGAATAAAAGCAGAAAAATTTGATTGTAAGAGAATGATCATCATTTTGCGTAGCAGCTAATAGTACGCGTTTCAGAAACCGATAATATGACGAGGTAAGATTGCATGAAGCTGAAGCGCCCAGTAAAATGTAATACTAATTATGGCAGATGCTCAGTGTCTCAGTGTCACAATGAACATCATTTCAGGCTCTTTTCTTAAACAATGAGTGGCGTATCCAAGATTTCCGTGCGATGGGAGGGCAGGGGGGGGGGGGGGGGTAAATATCCGGGAAATTCCTCACAAACGAAATAACAGAACAATACAAAACAACATATAAAAGCATAAAAACAAGAACAACGACAAAGAGGAAGAAATCTCACCTTTTTACGTGCGTGTTTATACCAGAATTTTGAGGGACGAGGGGGGAGGGGGGCACACAAACACACTATATGGTGATGATTATAATAATAATATCTATAATAATCAAAATATTATAATGGGTACCTGGCAGGAATTAATTCCTTGAAATGCTAGTGCGCCGCAGTGGCTGCCTTGCTAAAGCCAGGGTAATAATCGGGGCAGCGCCAGGAGCGTCACAACGTGACGGACATGTGCGCTATATAAGAAGCCACCATTATCTATTATTATTATTATAATGATTACAATAATAATAATAACTTTGGTTAATGAATGAATTAATGAACAAATGAATGGATAAATAATTAAGTGAATAAATAATAAAATGAACGAAACAATAAATGAATGAAAGAAGATTGTAAAGACACTAATAAATGATTTATGTACCCTGAAAATGGTCTTGCATAGGAGGGAGCAACCATAAAAAGTATCAATGTAGGGCAAATTTTGCCCGACATTGATTTCATTTCCATCTGAACATCGTGGTTTCGAATATTCCTTCGACCATCTCCAGGATCTCCTCTACAGAGGGCGCAGATCCATTCACGCGAGTTATAATGCAGTTTGTTTAAATAGACAATTTTTGTAAATATGTAACCGAGTTGAATGCACAAATCTTTGTAATTTCAATAGTCAGAATGCGAATTGCACTTATTCCGTGTTGTTAATGTAGGACAAGCCACAGTGTTTGTCCTACCTAGCAATATTTAACCTATGCAATCCTCATTCTGACCATTGAAATACTATTATTTGTAACAGGTGAATGAAATAATTTGTAACGAGGCACTTAACAAAGCCATGCGCATTAAATTTGATTACATTACGAAAATGGTAAGAGCACTTTTTTTGGTTTTTTTTGTCCCAAATATTCAAAAATCGGGCCGATGGCAAATTCGCTCAGTGGGTGGGGGGGGGGGGGGGGGGGGGCGGGGAGGGGAGTGCACACAATTTGTTATTTTTTTGGCCGGGTGGGCACGTCCTTGTTTTTCAGTACATTTTTGGCGAATTTGGGGCTGATTTTAACATATTTTGTTTGGTCGGGGGGGGGGGGGGGCACGTGCCCCCTGTGCCCCCCTGGATCCGTCCCTGTTGATGCCTTTGAAATGTGGTGCTACAGAAGGCCGTTGCAGGTGTCATGGAAAGATAAAAAGACACATGTATTGGTCCTGGAAAAGATTGGAACAGACTTGACCATCAGAAGGGGAATCATGGAAAGAAAACTAAACTTTTTAGGGCACATTGTTAAGAGATCTGTAGGTGTTGAGAAGCAAATAGTGCAAGGAGCAGTCGAAGGAAAACGGGGTATTGAAAATGAAAGGTGCAACACAAATGGTAGGTGAAAGAGTTGCATAGCGTGCTCTCGTGAAGACCACAGCAGCGCTTTACAGCGCCACCTGTTGATGATTGATGATGATGGTACTTGCCCTAAAAAATTTGTACTAAAAAAAAAACACCAAAGAATATAAAAGGAGTGAAAGAATATTAAAATCAATGAATACAGAATTAGTATGGGTGGATAGATGGATATAAAAATCCACAAATCATTCAATAAATAAATATACAAATAGATACATGAATACATAAACGAAATAAATGAATAAAAATAAGACAGAAAGAAAGAAGGTAAAGAGGGAAGAGTGGGATATAGTAACAAAGAAACTCAAGATTATCAGAATATAAAAGGAAGGATGGAGAGAAGAAAGAAAGTTATCAGTGATAAGAAAGAGAGAGAGAGGAGAGATGTTTTCCTTTATGCGAATCCAGCGGGTATGGCCCCGGCGCCCCCCCCCCCCACTCAGTGTTATTTAGGGTACGCATATGCTTGTTCCCTCTTTTTGAAAGCACCCCCTATCTGAGGACTGCCAACATTTTCGAACCCCCCTTTCGCGGGCTTTTCGCGGGCTTTTCCTGCCTTGGAGACCCCCCCTAAATCAGGAAAAATGCTTTACGTACCCCACTAATTGATTTCGGAATAATTTCTCAGGAGTCCATAGAGATGAGAGAAAAAAAAGAAAAAAACACCCCTTTTTTAAATCTCCGGGTGAAAAGTCAAATACATCCATTTTTTTTTTTTTTTACAATTCTCGGGCCGGACTTTGTTGCACGAAAAGTACGACCTCTGAGTGGGGGGGGGGGGGGGGGGGGCGGGGGGCGGGGGGCGGGGGTATGGCAGTGCCGTATGATATAGGGCACTTATATTATATTGACTGGGCTTGAGGGGTACATCAGAAATATTGACAAGGCTAAGATCATATTGCCCCGAGTCGAATTAAGGGCAATATAGCCCTATAGCACGGTCAATATTTCTGATGTACCCCTGAAAAAGCCCTGTCAATACAAGGCATTTTTTAAACAAATGATATACAACTTTGGTAATCTGCTACGCGACAACCAGATGCTGGTGATTGTACGTCACGGACATATTTACAGATACAGATACGGATATCAAGCAATTGAATCCTATTGCGCAAGCGCACTGATGGAATACGGCAGAATGTTGCCCTCTGATTTATTGGCCGTCTAAGGGGAAAACCCCTGGGGAAAATCCGGAAGAGGGCAATATGGCAACGTTGCCCGCTCCAGATTCGTATTCAGAGTAGCGTGCAAACTACGACTTTTTATTTTGCAGTATAGTAGCCTTGTATAGGTGGCAGTACCGTATATATTCTATTATATACGGCACTGGAGTATTAGGGACTTTTAGATTTGCACGTCGACATAAATGGACTGCTATACGTTTGACGTCCTTTGAAGATCGACACTACCAGTGCCACCCCCCCCCCCGTGAGCGCCAGGGGGGGGGGGGGGGGGATCTCCAAAAAAGGTCAAATTAACGTGTTTTTACACGTTTTTTACCCAGCCCCCCCCCCTAAATCCGCCATTGTCACACGTATAACAGTCCACTATGTCGACATGCAAATCTAAAAGTCCCTATTATGTATGGGACCACTCAACAGGAATATTCAATTCAGGGTACGCGACTGCAATACAATGGTACGTTCAACAGCGTATATCACTGTGTATCGAGCGATGATCTATATGGTTATTGACTGATATGATAAACAGTTTTTATCGAGAATATTCCTTAATTTATGGCGCTTTATGGCGCGCCATTTGCCCAATAATTCCGATAAACACTGTTTATCGAGCAATAAACTATAACAGTGTTTATCGAGAATAACTATGTTTTTCACTCGATAAACATAGTTTGCCCAATAATTTGCACTACAATTCAGATAAA